AATGCAGTCACCTGTGCAAAGAAACAAACTCTCATAATTAATCACGAGGAAAACCTTATCATATACTGCATGCTAAAGGTACATCTAAAACAGACTCCAGTGACATGACTATATATCTTTATATAGGATGTATATGTATCAGAGTATCAAACTGTAACCCATAGATATGTATAATTATGTATGTTAAAATATAAATAAAGAAAACCAGAAAAAAAGATTCCAAAGTAAAGTAAAGATAAATAAATGAGTGTAGATATACCAAGCACATGTAAGCAGAAATAAAGCAATTATATATAACATCAATATGAAACCATAATTTAATGGCAACAAACCACTAATGGGACAAAGAAGGGTATCTACAATAATTAAGAATAAAATTCACAGTGAATATTTAAGTGCAGTAGATATGCATAAAATAATACAATATTGAAACTCATAGAGCAAAACCAATATACTATGCAAGAAGATATAGGCAGCAACAGTTTATCAGTAATATTTCAATTCATTTTTGTTAGGCTGTGAAGTCCTATGAACAAATGACTTCATACACATATGCCAGAAAAAAAGCATATGGAAGTCTGAATGTGAATAATAAGTTGTGAGTAATTGGTCTATATAAACTCTGTGGCCTGGAAAAGATGTCTTTTCTCAAGTATTCATGAGACCGTCACAAATATTGAAAAAAGAAAATGTCAATAAATTCCAAAAAGTATAATTTATGACATTCTTTGATCACAAAACAATAAAACAGTAATAACATAGCTAACTCTTATGCCAGGAACAAAAATACTAAGCCACATCATTTTCCAAATCTTCTTCTTAAATAACTAATGGCTCAAAAAAGAAAAAAACAGTATTGCAGAAATTTAAATAGAAAAATAATGACATCCAGAACTAAAGGGGAAAAGCTAGTTAAGCATTTATAAGAAATATTTCCAAAATATTTACGCTTGTAAATAAGAAGTGATAAAAATGAAGAACAATGAAATAGACTAAGTGGAAATGATGAATTACTAAATTACGAAACAGAGAAGATCTGACCTATTTAAGAAGTCACATTAAGATAGATGGCCAAGACAAAAATGAATTTGGATTTCTACATTATTTTGTTCACCAAAATTACTTTTTTTTAAAAAAAAATTTATTTATTTATTTGAAAGGCAGATTTACAGAGACAAAGGCAGAGTCAGAGAGAGAAAGGTCTTTCATCCACTGGTTCACTCCTCAATGGCCAGAATTGAGACGATCCAAAACCAGGAACCAGGAGCTGCGTCTGTGTCTCCCACGCAGCTGCAGGGGGCCAAGGACTTGGGCCATCATCCACGGCTGTACCAGGCCATGGCAGAGAGCTGGATAGGAAGTGGAGCAGCTGGGACTCGAACCAGCTCCCATATGGGATGCCAGCACTGCAGGTGATGCCTTTACCTGCTACTCCACAGCGCTGGCCCCAGATTACTTTAAAAAAAATTAAAATTTTACTTATTTTAAAGAGTTAGAGAGAGAATTTTCTGCCTGCTGGTTCACTCCCCAAATGGCTGTAATGGCCAGGGCTATGCCAGGCCAAAGCCAAGAGCCAGGAGCTTTATCTGGATCTCCCACATGGGTGGCAGGGGCCCAAGTACTTGGAACATCTTCCACTACTTTCAAAGGCCATTAGCAGGAGGCTGGATTGGAAGTGGAGCGGCCAAGACTCAAACCAGTGCCCATATGGATGCATGCAGCAGGCTTACCCATTGTGTCACAATGCTGGGCCCCAAAATTACTTTCAAGTATATCCAGTACTTAAAGATAATGACAAAAAAGTAAGAGAGTACTAGAATTATCATGGGGATTAAATAAATATTTTGTGCAGCCCTATACAAAACTTGACCAAAAATGCAGAATTCGTAAGAGGAAAAAGAAAACAAGTTGATGGTCTTTCTTATTTAATGGAAGTCAAAATTTTCTTCCAGGCATAATTCACAAAATACAATTAAATGATAAACTTTAAGAAAAAAGACTTTGGCCGGCGCCGCGGCTCAATAGGCTACACTGGGTTCTACTCCCGGTCAGGGCGCCGGATTCTGTCCCGGTTGCCCCTCTTCCAGGCCAGTTCCCTGCTGTGGCCCGGGAGTGCAGTGGAGGATGGCCCAAGTGCTTGGGCCCTGCACCCCATGGGAGACCAGGAGAAGCACCTGGCTCCTAGCTTCGGATCAGCGCGGTGCGCCGGCCGCAGTGTGCCGGCCGCAGCAGCCATTGGAGGGTGAACCAACGGAAAAAGGAGGACCTTTCTCTCTGTTTCTCTCTCTCACTGTCCACTCTGCCTGTCAAAAAAAAAAAAAAAAAAGAAAAAAAGAAAAAAGAAAAGAAAAAGACTTTAATAGAGCACAGATTTTCTTTATGGACACACAGTTTTTCTATATTGATACAAATATATACAGCACAGAAAAGATCTCATAGAAAGATGATGGCAGCATTAACAATGTGAGAAATTCAACTTTCAGTTGCACTCATATACCATCTTCTCCTAACAGATTTTTATAATGCACCACATTGGCTAAAGGTTTAAAAACAAACATGTTGATCATCTTTCTTAGTAAATTGGGAAATCTTTTTGTGGAAAAATTTGATAATATTTATAACAGTTTAAAGTGTACATATTACTTTATTGTTAAAACCTAGAAATATACTCTGCAAGTATAAAATCACATAAGAATAAATATATCAGGATATTTGTTACAACAATATGCTTGTCTATCAATAGTAGAATGGCAAAATAATTTGAAATGGAATGAATTTCTGTGTGATTTTAAAAAAGAATTAAGTTTGTATGTAGTAATCTTGGAAATTTCATACTTGAAAGGGAAATTCCTGATATCACTTATATTCTAATCTTTAAATAAAAACGTGGCAAAGAGTAGGAAGGTACAAAACCATAAGCATTATAAGATGTGTGGATTATTTCTGGATATATTCATTCATTTATCCGCTCAGTTCAAAATGTATTCATTAAATGCCAATAACTGTTTCAAGTATGTAAGACATATGGACAACATACCAAATGTCTGAATCCTCGTGCAACTTGCTCTCAGCAGGGAAGAGGGACAATACACAATAAATAGAACTGATAATGGAATTATGTGCACATTAATGGGGATAAAGTCTGTGTCAGGAGATAAAAAGAGCAACATATGGGTCTACAGAGCTCTAGGCCAGCTAAAATTTTAAATAGAGTGGTTAGGGTAAGTCTCATTGAAAGAAGTGAAGGCCTGTGATACAGCAAAAAGCTGGCAATACTGGTGTTCTTAAGATGTGATCCTGGAAGAGTGGAGTGAAAGGAAGGACTACTTTTTCCATAATGTAACTTTATATACTATTTGAAATTATTAGGATCGACTTAGGTTGATTTTTTTTGAAAGCTCCGAAGTTACTTACACAATTGCTTGTAAATATTGCTCCAAGACTTAGACCTGTGGAAAGAAATTTTCTAAGTCCCTTTCACTTCTCTAGATATGCTTTTTCATCCAATTATATTTTAAGCCTCATCTTGGAGTGAAGAAGTCCTGTCTTTTCACAGATGCATCTGTTTCATCACTGTGTTTCTGCACTTAGGGACTGGAAGATGAAAGAGCCTGCTGGCTGAGGAGGCTGGGGTGGTTTAAGGGGAGTGAAAGGGAAAGAGTTGTACGTGCATTTTCATAGTAGAGGATTTAGTGTGATTGATTTTGCTTAATTTGCCTCAAAGGCAAAAATAATTACCTTAAAGATAGGTAATTGAAGGTAGTGGGTTACATGACGGATGATGATTCAATCATTAGTTGCATGAGTACAGATTTTATTTAAATAACAAAATCAAAACTCTTCTTGCATTGGCACTGAAGTTAAGTATAGCTGATCAGTTGAATGAAGGCAAAAAAGTGCCCCGCAGATTGAATTAACCAAACACCATTGGCTATGGTTTTTAAAAAATCAATTTTTCCTATTAGTTGAGGGTTGAAAAAAATCTCTCTAGAATCTCCCCTGCTAGCTGGAATAGAAATAATGACTGATTAGAAGTCACATGTTCTAGGTTTTGAATCTTTGTTCTTCCTCTTACTGGTTAAGTCTGTGCTAGACTAATCTCTGAGCTTCAGTTTTCTGAAGATTAAAATAACAGTGTTACTCACATCTCAGGGGTATTTGTGAGCATTAAATGAGATAATTCATGTGGAAAATACCATTATATAAAAATACTATACATGGGAGTTCATAAAGAACAGGCCCTTAGCCAATTCTAGCCACAAATGTGTTTGAATTGGCTGGCATAGAGTTGGCTTCCACAGTGCTGTAAAACAATTTTAATTAGTTGCAAACTTTCAAAGATTGGATAATTTCATATAAAATATGGATTTTGAGTTTTCATGAAAAACTTCAGGCCCATATTCTTCATGGCAAAACCAACCAAATATGAGCATTACTCTCACCTCCAGAGGGGCTTTACTCTCCCATTGGTACAATCCCCATCATAAAATTACTTTCTACCTGACGCTGCAGGAGAAGCTGTTTCCCTTGTGTCTGGTAAGTTTCACTAACTTGTGTCTAACTCCTCATGGCAGTACATTCTCTTTCGCATCTTCAACCACTGTACCCTGATGAGTTTTTCAGATATCAGCCAAAAGCTATTAACTAGCACATTGCCCATCTTTCTTCTTTATCAGTTATGAGACTAAATATATAAGACACTTCCATCCCTGTATGAAATTGGCTGCGAGTAATTCACCAGGGTATCTCCAGTTTCCAGTACACTGGGCACATGCTATGAACTCAATAATTATTTACGAAGTGAATGAATGCATGAATGGTTGAATGGCAGTGATGTATTTGCTACCTCACAGATACATCTGAGTAGTTCCTTCTTTTAATTTGAACATTTTTAAGCATTTCCTACATAGATACGCTTTTACTATCTGAAGTAGACAAAAATGCTTACTCATGTGACATTTCTTTTACTTTGACTTTTTGTTTCCTAAATTTTACTATAGGATGTCCCCAGACAAACTATGGACCAAATTGTGAGCTACAATGTACTTGTGAAAATGGTGGCCTTTGCGATCCTGTGGACGGAAGCTGTACCTGTGGCCTTGGATGGACAGGAACTCATTGTGAAAAAGGCAAGCTGATTTATTGCTTTCTTTCATTCAATAAAACTCTGAAGTTTAGTACCATTGGTTGATAAAGTACAGTAAAGGCATGTGAAAAGGCTTTTTCCAATAGTTCATGCAAGTGGTTTATAATTAGGATTGCATTTCAATAAAAATAGTTCTATAAATATTGATGGATTTGTTACCTTGTTACTGGAATATCACATGAGAATGTTGAAACACCTTAGGCAATTGAAATGGTATTAATGTGAAGGAATGCCTGAGACCTAAATCCCATTTTCCCTCCAGTCTGTAAGCCCAAAGCCTTTGTGCACACAAAATCGGCTGAGCCTTGATTTTCTAGGCATGAGACTGATGCACCTCAGCCACGACTGAGGCCTTGAGGCCTGCGGAGTGGACGTGTGGCGCCCAGGGAGGAGTCCATTCACAGGAAGTGTGGGCCAAGCTGCAGGCAATGAAAAGGATCTCCCAGGAGGATCCCAACTTCACAGCAAGAGGAAATGTTTAACCACGTACCTCCATATATGAATTTTTCTATAGAAATGGCATTCCTGTCCTCCTCTTTGTGAATATTAGAAAACACATGTAAAAGTCGAAACTGATTTGAGAGATGGATGACAACAAATATTTATAATGGTTCTAATGTTTTCTTCCTAAAACATCAGGTATTCTGTGCACAGCACTGAAGAACATACACTCCAGTTAGAGCCCATTTTTGCAGGAGACAAAGCTGTATTTTAGCAGAATGCAGAACCAGAGCTCTGGCAGGGAAGTAGAATGTGGATTAAAAACCTGGTGCTGGGGACCTGAGATCAACAAAGAAAAAAAAAAATCACAGTGAACTTCCACCTAGTTTCAACTATGGATGATAGGGGTCTTTAGGGCTACAGCTCAGAAATACCAGTGCAATGGGTGTGATGAGCTACCATCCGTCACACTAATTTATCTGACATGAAATTCAAGATCATGGTGTGGAAGAACACCTTGCAGTGGGTGTGGACAGACATGCGTGATCACCTCAGCTCTGCCTCTCTGCAGTGCCCAGCCTCTCCAAGATTTGGTTTTCCCTCCTGAAAGTGGGAGTCCTGACCTGAATAATGTGCAGCAGCCCTTCTAAATCCAAGAGGCAGACCATTTTTCAAGAAAGGTTTTTAAGGTGCATATCCTCCCTAATTCACTGGAGATAGCTCTTATCAAGTTTGTGATGTGAGGTTACTAAATCAAAGTAATAGTTACAGTTTAAAAATAGGCAGTTCTGTCATGTTCATATGGTTGGTTTTTAAAAGTCTAAATTGGATAATTCTCTGGCATTTAGCATGTGTGATATTTCTACTAGTCTATTTTATCATTTAAGGTTTCTATTATGGAACATGTCGAGTGTGTACAAGAGTTTAGAGAACAGTATATTGATATAATGAACCGTTTATGAGGTAAAGCTATCCTTTACCTCTCAACTTCAACAGTGATCAATTTTTGAGCAGTCTTATTTCTAAGCATATTTAGGTATTTAAATAATTACAGTTACTGTTCTTAAGGTTGGCATATTTTTCTGTGGTTGAGCAGGAAACTGTTAAAATTGGTTTCTTCGATATATCTCCAATAATGATTGATTGTTTGCTATCTGACAAGGCCAGGTATCCTGTGCTCAATTGTACTTACCCACCTTCAAATCTAGAATAATCTTCTTTTTCCAAAAAAACTCTGGTTTCTTTTATTTGGAAATTGTATTTAGAGACAAAAAAATCAGTTATGTTCACTACAACTGGGATAGTCATTTTTTCCTAAGGCTTCCTCTGGACAAAGCTACAGAATGCTTTTATATTAAAGAAATTTGTGTAGCTACTTCCAATTCAAATTAAAAACCACACTGATTTATACATGGCTTCTTCTTTCTTACAACTGTATTTTCTTCCTCTTATGTTGAAATTCCTGATCCTGAACACCATCAATATAATTCCTCTCTTGCTTTATCACATAAAAACAGTCAACAGTCTCGGGATAAGAATGGTAATACTCCTCAAAAAAATAAAATTCTGAAAACTATTTATATTTTAAATATTTTAAAGTGCATTTTACAATTCTTGTTTCATAATGTATTTCCCACTAGACACAGGGGTCCAATTAGTATGTTTTAAAGTTATTTGGAATAGTTTTTCTCTACATAGTTTTGCCACCAGCTCAGAGTTAAGTTCATTTCATATTTTCGATTTTGATTTATACTTATGTAAAATATTTCCAAGTTCTACAAAACGGTGTCTTTAGAAAAATCTAGTTTCTATCTCATACTTTCATTCTGTCTCCCCCTCCCCAGTATAAGCAGCCTTAAAAAGAAGTTTTGTAGCTTATTAAAAATCCACTTTTAATATACACAGTTCCTTTCTCAGGTAAGAGTACTACAATATTCAGTTTTCCCCTTTCTGTATTTAACACTTTTTATTTTAAAATAATTGTAAAATCTCAAGAAGTTGCAAAAATAGTTTAAGGAGTCCCTTATACCTGTCAGCCCGCATCCTCCCAAAATGATGTATTTTATATCTGTACTACAACATCAAAACCAATCAGTTGATATTGGTGCATTACTGTTAACTAGACTAAAATCTAATTTATTTTTTGTTTAAATACATTTGTCTTCGTGTGTATGTATTTGTGTGTGTGTAGTTTTATACAGTTTTATCCCATGCACTGATTTGTGTAATGAACAACAAATTAATATACAGAATTGTTTCATTACCCTAAAAAGAACTATTCTGTAATAATAAACAAAGCTGAACTTCACCTCTCTGTAAAACTGAATGATGTTCTACTATGTGAATATGGCATAATTTAGCCATTCTAAAAGTGGTTAATTGGGAATAAACTACCTCAGAACTAGAAAGCTTAATGACTTAAATATTTACCGTTATCTCTCTTGATTCTGGGTTAATAGTTACTACTGTGTGAATTTTCTCCAAGATGGCAGTAGGAGCTAAGAGATCTCTGGACGGTTAGAATGAACTTTTCAGTTGATGTTCCCTGTGGGGCTTCTTTTTCCATACGACAGCTCATCCCTGGAAACCTCTCAGAAGGACCTTTTTCTCCACCAAAACAAATGCATTTCTTACATGGCAGTTGGCTTCCCAAAGTAGAAGATGCCAAGTCATCCTAAGACTTGGAAGTGGCGTATCATTGTTTTCACCACATCCTATTGGTTAAAGCAAGTCATAGGTGCATCTCAGATGCCATGTGGAATGGGGCAACCCAGGGTGTGAAACTGAGGAGATTTGCTTAATTAGAAGCATGTCTAGATTATGTACTCTCTACACTTCAAAGGTTTTGTTGTTGTGTATGTAATACACATATCTCTTCCTTTCTATTGTTTTTTTCTAATGCTGTGTCACAATTAGGAATATATTTCCTCTCTTGGGTTTTAGAGGAATTCACCCCTAATACATCTATGATTCCAGTTTTATACATTTAATTCTCTGAGTGATTTTAAGTATTATTCCTAGTGTATGGCATGAAGAATAGATCCATTTTCCTGTTAATGGTTTTCTAGTTATCATAACACAGCTTTTCCAAGTCTGTTCTCCATTGATTTAAGATGTAGCCGTCAACAAACATGAGATATTTACTTGAAATTAGGTATAGTTGTGGTTGCTCAATTCTACTGGTCTATTTATGTAGAAAAGCAGCTATATTTTATTATGGAGTCTTGGAGATATATATATACATATGACCAAAGGGAAAACTGTCCTTCATTGCTCTCCCTTTTTCAGCTGTTTCTTTGCCATTCTTGTTTATCTGTCCTTCCAAATGAACTCTATTATCCAATTATCTAGATGCCAAAAACAATCAGGAATTGGTATTGTTTTATTTTCCTCTGTGTCTACTTTCTACTGGGGAGAATTAACATAAATATGCTATCATAGTATATCTTTTTACTAATTCAAGCATGTTGCTCACTATAAGATGCTGACTATTAGCTTTCATATTAAGACATAGCTATTAATTTTCTAATTTATGCAATATTTTAACTGAAATTTGTAGTGAATTTATTGCAAATGTCTTTTCTTTGCCTATGCAATTAATAATATGACTTTTCTCTTTAGTCTGATAAGTATGATGTATTATATTAGTGAATTTTCTAATACTGAATAACCTTACATTCCAGAAATAAATACTACTTGGCCATGATGTATTACTTTATAAAGTGCTGTTGGATTCTGTGTACTTATATTTTATGTGATTTTTGGCATTGATATTCATAAGTGAAATTGAGCTGTAGTTCTTTTATGTAATTTTTGTCATGTCTTAGAATTTATGTTTTACTCACTCAATAAAATGAACACTATCTAAAATTTTCCTTCCATTCAATGCTCTGAAATAGTGTAAGTCATAAGGTGATGATTTGATCACGTTATTTCTAAAGGTTTGTAGCATTTCTCTGTAAAATCTGGGACTGTTGCTTTCAGGAACTAGTTTACTATTCTTTGTATTGTTTTTCTGTTATAATTGACCTCTAGGTTTTCCACCCCATTATAAGGATGCTTTTGGTAAGTCATTTTCTATAACGTTTTCTATTTCATTCAGTTTTACTAAATTTTTTGTATTGTAATTTTTATATCTTTTGATGGTTATTTCCTACCCCAATTAAGATAAATTTGGTGCATTTGTGCTTTCTTCATTTTATCTTGATTGGGTTAGTTGATATGTCGGCTTTCATTTTTTCAGTAATTCTATTATTTCCTTCCTTTAACTCATTAAAAATTCAGTTGTCTTTCAATTAAAACTAATGCTCGGGCGGTTTTCTTTTTCAGAATGTTCTCCTGGTTATTATGGCCCAGGTTGCCATTTCAGTTGTGCATGTCAGAACAATGGAGTTTGCAACAGGTTTTCTGGAAGCTGTGACTGCCCCAGAGGTTACTATGGACGAGATTGTGAACATGGTAAACAGAGAAGTCGGCATATTACAGTGCTTATAAATTCTAAGCTTTCAAAGCAGCTTTTTAAATAAGAAAAGAAATGCATTCACATTTTAGCAAATTATCTATCAAATTTAGGTAATCTTACTATTTTAGTGAGTATTCTTTCAATGAGACCTGATTTTATAAGTCTAACTTAAATTCTAGATGTTGACTATTGCCGTGATGAATTAGTTGGGCTTGTTTGTTTTGGCCCTGCTGTCTGAGAAACAAGTTCTTTGGTTCTATAATCACTTGGAGAAAACATACTAAGGAATCAATGGTGATTCTTTCTAACCAAAGTAATTCTCCCTCCTCTGAATGCCTTTAGGAAGCTGTCTGTTTCTTTTATGTTGATCCAAGTTTGATCTTGAAAGATCTGCCTTCAATTTGGCTTCAATATTTGGCTAAAATTAGGAAAAAAGAAAATTATACTTGATCTTTAGCATCAGAGAACTCTGATGGACAACACAGGAGATTAAGATAGGGAGTTAAGTCTCCAGAATTAATCACATATGGCCTAGCTTTGGTAGCTTCACCATATGTAGAATGAGTAATAATAGCACTTCACTTACCTTAAAAGGTTATCATGGGGATTAAAGAAGAAGATACACGTAAAGCATTTAGCTCTGTGGCATATGGCAAGGACTTGATGAATATTATTTACTTAGAATGTAAAGAGTCTTTTATAGTCTCTAAAGTGATATTATTATGTTTCCATTTCTTTCAATATGTTTTTAGGCTCCAGCAAATATATTTTATGGTAACAGATCTTATTAACCTTTGAAATTTTAGAATTCTTGCAACCACTTTGAGACTTCTAGGTCAGGAGTGGGGAAATGAGTATTTTATGGATGTGTTTTGCTTGTTTTATTTTGTTTCAAAAATTAGAATTAAAAAATTATAAGAGAAGAAAAAATACTTAACCATCAGTTTTATCTTTCATGCAGTAAGATATGGACAAATGTTTTGAGTAAACAAGAGGTGTCATTGGTGAAATAAATCTGTAAATTGAGTGCATGTTGACTGTTAGGAAAGGGAGCTAGCAGCAGTGTCCAGGTAGGAAGCTATAGTGATCCTTCAGGATTTCAAAAATCAAGACTGGAATGAGATGCTAAGTGAGCAAATGGTATTTGGTAAGTAAGGTAGAAATGGAGATAAGGAAGATGGAAGAATCAAACATAGCTCTACAATTCCAAAGCGAGGTACTTGGAGGAATGATAGTAAAAGTTAGCAAAATGGAAAGATCAAGCAGGCAACCTTTATAACTTCAGTTTTATATGTAATTAAACTGAGGTTGATAAAGGATATCTGATTCTGTTATGTGGCCTCATTAAAACTGTATAAGAATGAACAGAAGGAATCCTGTACTGAATTTCCCAGTTAATTATGTTTAAGAGTTATTATAATGAGATCAGTAAACGGAAGAATGTATTACATAAAACAAGCATTCCCTATCTCCTTTTGGTTTTACCCTTTTTCTGCTCCCTGAAAGTGAGTTTTCCCTAATGGTAACACTGTTCATTTCATGTATCCTGGAGAAGGGTCTTCCATTCAAGCCTTGGCAAATCCAACTTGAGCTGCCTGGAAAGGGAGGCAGAGGGAAATAGAGAGAGAAAAGAGAGACAGAACACAAAATAGTAAAGAGAAAGGCAGAGAATGGATAACTGAAGGTGAGAACATTTTATCCCATGTGTGAATAGTGAACACAGCCCTCGAGAAAACTCAGGATAGAAAATAGTAATGTTTTGTCCACAAACTTAGCACTCACACACTTCTTCATGTTTGAGCATCTTTGACAATTTTATCCAACAAAGAATCTATTTTTTAACTATATGATCTCCAAATGTGAACCAATTACTTACTTCTTCTGATGTTATTTGTAAAAATATTGATCTTCTCCAACCCTGTAGGTAAACCAGGTTACTTTGGACTTGTAAGAGACAATTCTCTTTTGATTCTGATTGGATACCTAAGAACATTTTTCAAAAATTCAAGTTCAGTAACTTTAAAACTCAACTTGTTCATAAAAGGAGGTTAATCTAATGTATATCATTCATGTTCTCTACTATTCTCATTCTTGCTTCCTACTTTCCTCCCATCTTTCTTGCTTCTATCCCCAGGACCTTAAATATCAAGAACTCTATAAATTAACTGTCACAGATACTCTCTTATTTATTCAAATAATTTAATTTCAAAATCATCTTCATTAAATTTAGCCCGGATTTAAAAGTCAAATATATTGCTCTTTTGGGTGTTTAGAGTATTAGGCAGTTTTAGTGAAGTCTTCAGCCAACTATACCACAGCACAGCAAATAAACTTTCTTAGGTTTAAAGATATTTCAAATTTCCTTACAAGTTTTTTAGACTGTTTGCAAAGAACACTGCCTATATATTCATTCATTTATATAAAGGTACTTCAAACATTTCTGGACAAATGCAACTAAAAGATAAATTAATTTTGCTGTGAAAAAATTTTTAAATCTACATATGAGGGGACTTCAAAATTTGTTTGGAAAATATATATTATGAAAAAACTTTGCATGGAGCTCAGAGTTCTTTTGCCCCATAATAAATTTATCTTCTAATTATTTTTTTCCATTCCTTTTGAAGTACCATTGTATGATTAAACTATTGTCAATATGCTTCACCATATACTTTTTTTTGTTTTATAAATCTTCTGTATTTTCCTTCTTTGATCTTGGGAAACAAATTACCTAAAGCATATCCTTTAATTTCTTTTTCATTTATTCTTAAAGTTAAAATAGCACTTGACATTTCCATTTTCTAGTATGTCCTCCTGGATTTTATGGTTTGAATTGTACTCACATCTGCAGCTGTAAAAATGGAGCCAACTGTGACGCAGCAAGTGGACAGTGCATTTGCCTGGCAGGTTTCCATGGCAGTCAGTGTGAAGCAGGTACAGCCACAGAAGTGTTAAGTGCATGAATATGGAGATCCTGTGTGACCATGAGGTCTTCCTATCAGGGGATATACCCAAATAGAAAATATGCAACAATTAACTAAACTTTTGACTTGCACACTAAAATGGCAGGAATTTACTCGACAGCCAATATGGTGGATACTTATGGTGTTGTTGCTGATTGGCCAAAAATTTTATGCTCTTTTAAATGAAATAATCTAGTGTCTCAAAAATACCACTAAAGCTGTTGGTCTTCAATGGACAAAGATCCTACTTAGAAATGAGAGCAAATATATTTTAAAAGAATGTAACTTATATATCAGCCTCAGTGGTATAGAAAGAGACACAAATAATTTGTGAAAATACTTAAAGTCTGAATTTGGCATTTATCATAGTCATGAGTGTGATAACAATATAAACATGAGAATTTGGACTACTCTATTTGAAATAAAATATTACAAATCCCTAAAACACACTGTTCAGGCCTGTTGGAAACCGTGATAAACTACATAGCTCTCAGTAAACACCTCAAAGGCCCAATTTTTGCCTATATTATGACATTCTTACACAAATGGCTACAATAACTCTGACAATAATCATGGGGTGGTGGTGGCAGTTTAGAATGAATCAAGTTGCTGCTTTGAGCCTCTAAAAAAGATCTCTGTATTAATCTCATGCTATATTCTCAGACATCACATATTTCACATATTTTATCTCTTTTCTACCCTTTATTCATTTATTACTTACTGATTCAATAAATGTATTATTACTTGTTTGTTATGTGTTAAATTCTAGAAATATATTCAAAAGCACAGAGCTTATTGTCTTCTGAGAGATGCACAATAAGCAACATTTTAAGGGAAAATAGTATAAGTAATTCCCTTGTACAGTAGACATGGTCTCCTTCTTTAAGTTCTAGCCTTCAGAAAGTTTACTTTCATACTGAAATATACAAATGGTATTGAAAGTCAGACCTGAGTGTCAAGTCAGGTATAAAATGGACTTCATATCTGATATTTCTTCCCTTTCTTCTCTTTCTTATGGGTCAATCTCATTTTATCAATCTGCTTTATTTTGAACTCAATCTTGATAAAATTGTGTCTTTAAACTCAATGTAGCTGAACTAGTGAAAGCTCAAGTAGATTTCTCAGCCTTTCTCTTTCCTTGATAGAGTGTTCTGCAGGAAAGTTTGGAGCCAACTGCCATCAACATTGTGACTGTGAAGGAGAGGCCTCTTGCCACCCAATAACAGGAAAATGCCTCTGCCCACCTGGAAGAAATGGAGCTAGATGTGATGCTGGTAGGAGTCCAAGAACCCCAAGCTCCCCTGTGACCCAGGATGATGCAAACATCTGGAGATGTTTTCATACTATAAATGATGCTCTATTAAAGAACATGGCATCAACATATTTGACACTTCACCCTTATTGTGATGAATCAGGGTTTGTAGTTTCCCACTGGAGGCACCAAAACCAGCACCATGGCTGGCAGAGGGCAGTTGGCAAGTACTGCAAGTACTTCAAAGAGTTGCATCTAAACATCCCATTGCAAAGTTATTCACAGAAATCCCTAGAAATAAGACAATGAAGGTATGGCAAGGTGGTATTTTCGAGATCCAAGTTCACAGCTATTCTTGGGATTTATATTCTAGTTTTCTTTCCAGTCACAGGAAGACACTAGAAAGTTCGAACTCTTCGGGAGCTGCCTTAAAGAGCAGAGAGAACAATTGGAGTCAATGTTGATTGATCACTGTTGGTAGACTTAGTATTCATTATATCTAGATGAAAAAAATCTATATAACTTGCAGTAGAGTTGAAGGGCTGACCCTACCACAGATATAACCTAAAACAGAGCATTTAATCTCAGAATTTACTTTCCTTGTATTCAAAATGGAAAGACAGAAGCTGGCTATTTTTAAGATCATTTCCAGCAGTAATGAACAGATTCTAGAAATTGGAATTCCTGAAATTCTGAGAGAGCCAAAGGAACCTTCTTGGCTACAAGAGGTTACTGTTCACTGGATGCCAGACCCTCCATCCCTGCTTGCTTCTGAGTGATAGCAATAAAAAGCAACTTACTTTGAAAGACATGCCATCCTAAATATTTTCCCTATGTTCTTGAAATTCTTGCCACAACCTTATGAGGTTGTTCCTATTCTTAGTCCTATTTGACATGTGAGGAAGCTGTAATGGAAAGATAGAAAGTGACATAATCAAGATTTGTACTCAGGTGGTCTGGTTCCCAACTTATGATGATATCAGTCACTGATAGTATATATGAATGTCTGCATGTGGCCCACAATAAAAAAAAACTTCCAGGAGCTTGTCACGCATGTTGTGTTCTTTCCAATCCCTTCTTCTTCCCTTCTTTATGGGCTCTTAGAATCTGATCAAGGAGTTGTGATTATTGACATGGAGTATTTTGAGATCTTCCAACCCAGGAACTTACCAATGCTGTTGTCTGTTTTTTACAAAGCTCTGTCTTTCAAATCTCTAATCCTTGAAAGTTAGTTCTATTGTTATTTTCATTTTATACAAAAAGCTTAGGAAGAAAAGTCTAGCACATAATACTCATCATCCAATGTTTGCTAAATGAATCGTGTTTCTCTTCGCATTCTTCATGGAGTCAAGGTGGACAGAAACACCTGACTCTAGTCATAGCTGAACTAAATCTGTCAGAATAAATACCCATAGTGCACAATCACTAAATAAATGGTCTCTGAAAGCAGGATGCTTATAGTGTTTGTGACCCTATTTGAATTGAAGAAACCCTTGCCTATTAAGTACACATTATAGACCAGGTATTTTCATTTAGACTAGGTGCCCTTGCTCTCATCACTATTGCCATTTTGTAGATGAGGAAGCAGAAATACACAAAATTTAGATGACTTGCCCAAGTTTACACATGTAATCAGTGGCAGATTGGGGTTTTTTGACAGTCTGTCTAGATTCAGAGCTAGCAGTTTGCCTCTCCAGGGAAAGAAAGGAGTAAGAGTTGATTTTGCGTGTCTATCTCTTGTCCAATGTTAGGCATTTGCTCTGCATTTGCCATTTAATTTTCATTTAATTTAATTTAAAAATCATGTCTTTACTCACACATTTCACATTTCAAATGCTCAGTGGCCACATACAACTTCTGGCTACAATATTGGACAGTGCAATATAGAACATTTCCATCACTGCAAAAAACTCCGTTGGACCACCTTCAGCAGAGGCTTAAAGCTTGCCACCAAGCTGAGAGAACATGGGAAGGGTAGAAACTAGAGACTCACCCCACCCTCTGTGGCCCACTTGCCTGTATCTCACAGTCTGTATCATCTACAAGTAACTTGTTCTAAGGCAATGGTCCTGTGTATTCCTGTCTCCATTCTCCAGGGGTACCTCAAGGTCCTTCCTGTCATGAGCTAGTCAGGGTTCGCACAGCCTACACAGATGGACTACAAGGTCTTTTATTTGCATTTTTATTTTCAATTAGGCACAGTTCATCTGCGATATTAACTATGAGCAGCTGTGTCTATGCAGGCGCCATAAAGATAAAAGACCTCATTTTAACTTGAACTCTGGTAAAAGACCTATTAAACAGCCATAATATTAATTCATAAAAGAATGTAACAACTTTTTATTGGATTATCCTCCCTCCCCCTGGTAAATTAACATTTGCAGACATTCAAACAGATGTCTTAAATACACATCGTTATTAACATGAAAATGTGGTATTTTTATAAATTAAAATCAGATTCTGTACTGCTCAGGAGAGATCCCGGCTCATAACTTTTTCTTTCAAAAAAGAAAATGTGATCTTACCACCAAACTAAGTAATTCTCTACCACACTGGGCAGAGGTGGGGATGTTGGGCTACATTTGAAATGACAGGATTTATTTTTTAATGTTCTCAAAGATAGATTCAGAGTAGCTTCCTCTTGAAGGAACCTGTTGTTCCTTCATTTAGGAAGAGAATGAATTACTGCTTGCTAGTGTTGCATCCTTTTAAAAAGAATTAATTCCAGAACTGATTTATGTTTCTATTTACTTCATATCTAAAACCTAATTAGTTAATTAAGACAAGAGAGCTAGACTAGATCTTAACCTGTCTTCATGATGTAATAGAGTTGAAAAGTAAGCATCCAACTGCTCAGGAGGCATTTAAAGACTTTATTGTATTTATTTGAGAGGTATAGTTACAGATAATGAGAGAGAGGGACAGGAAGACAGTTCTTCAGTCTGCTGGTTCACTCCCCAACTGGCCACAACTGCAGGAGCTGAGCCCATACAGAGACAGGAGCCAGAAACTTTTTCCAGATCTCCCACAGAAGTCTAGGGACCCAAGCACTTGATTCATCTTCTACTGCATTCCCAGGCCATAGCAGAGAACTGGATCAGAAGATGAGCAGCCAAAATGCCAACCAGCAACCATATGGGATGCTGGTCACAGGTAGACGCTTAGCCCACTGCGCCACAGCACTGGCCCACAGGAGATATTTAGAAGGGTCCCAATTTCCAGGCCAGCAAGGAGAATATACTGAGGCAATAAAAAAATTATTTAACAAAAAATTTTACCCAGTGGTTCAGAATCTCTCTAGTACCCATTTGCATGTTTATATTGATACTTCCCAATTTTTCACATTACAGTTGTCTGCTTTGTTATTTGTGCTCCCTTCTCCATAAGCTCAATACTTTTGTGTCTTCCCGTGTGGTTGTGCAATATGAGGAAAGACCACTAGATGAGAACTCAGAAGTCCAATGCTGCCATTTACCTGGAACATAACAATTGAAAACTTCCCTTCAGCTTTTCCAAACCTCAGTTTGTTTCTCCCTAGAACGAAAGAGCTTAGCTTACTGCCTTGCCCATCTTGTGACGTTTGCTAAAAAGGAGTTAATATGTTAGGAACTTGGACTGTCAACTAAGCAAATATAAGCAATTGTTTTGATTGCAAAGAAAGTTTCTGCGGTCCTTGAACACTGGTAAGCTGAGTTACTTCCCAGTTCTGCCTGAATGACCAGGAAATGTGAATCTATTTTGTTTCTTTGAGTTGTGCATCCTGCTAATCCTTACAATTCTTCAGAAAAGAACCTCTTAATTCTTTGCTAATTCTTGGCTGGATATCAAACTAAGAACACATTTTCAGGCTGGCCCATTTTAGTCCATTTTTAGTGATCTTGATAAAACTAGCAGTTTTTATTCTCCTCCTTCCCCAGTTCATTTCTCCATTGGTTTTAAGCCTGGTGCCAGTCATTTTAAGATAGAGTCCTTTATAGCCACGGCTGAGTTTCACAGCAGTAGTTGCAAGGGGGATCTAAGGCCCTTTTGACCTGTTTTAACAGTTGAAGGACTTGTTTTTTAAACTATTTTATTTTCAACAGCATAAGCACAAATGACCATGTTTCAGCCTAAAGACAAATCTCACACATTGTGGGTTCAGGGTGAATATTGCCTTATTCTCGTCTTAAGGCCACTAATCCGTTGTCTCTGTGCCTTGCAATGCTACTGCTGTAAGCGTGATATATTCTAGTCCTGAGGAGGCATTTTGGAAATATAGGCTACTTTTCTCACTTCCCCCCTTGTGAATTGTGTCACTAACTTCCTTGCTACCTCCCGCCCTCCTCCTGTTTTCCATTGAAGCGCTCACTTTTGTTATATAATCTTCTAGCAGGGAGAATAAAAACCACCACATGGTAAAACAAGTCTGTCATTAGCTTTTTCAATTCCGAGAAGTGAGAGTAAGAAGACAATGCCTTTGAAAAGCATTTTGAATTGCTTTCCTTTTTATTTTTCCCCTTGCAGAATGCAGATCAGGCCAGTATGGACCCAACTGCGCTCTCCAGTGTCAGTGTGTGCACACGGCTTTCTGCAACCCTATCAATGGGAGCTGCATGTGCCCCTCAAAGACAATGGGCCCGACCTGTGAGGAAAATGGATTGGAGGATCCTCAGTAACCACATGCTGACAGCTTTTCAGACGGCGAGATAGAATGTGGTTGAAGTTCACCCACGCTTTATCATCTTAACTTTGGCAGAGAATCGTACTTACTCAACGGTCTTCAGCCCGGCCTCGCTTGTTACGAGGTGAAAAACAGGACGTCTCAACTTTATCGCCTCCAGGCCTCTGTCCCCTTACTCACAGAACCTTCCCAGCTTCCTTTTGCTGAAGAACATACCCAAGAATAAGAAAATGTTTTTTCAGGATCCCAACCATAGTAACATTTGGACTAATAAATGAACCTTTTTTTTTAATATGCACAGGAGGTATTTAAATTTGGAAGCAAGAACTGCTTTTCAGTCCTGGTTGGACTGCACTAAAATATTCACACCTATTCACCAAAGACCTCAGTGGCCATTAAGTAGCTGGATCCTCTTTAGAAATGTCTAGAATTTCATCTATTTATTCTTGGTGTCCTGCTTCCCAGTTCACTCTGCTTCAGATTGCTAATGTATTGTATTTCAAACATGACTTTCGGTGTGGGAGATTATGAAGTATTTAGCCACATAAAGATCAGGGTGAAAGTATGACGTGCACGTTTACAATGAATCATCAAAACGTTTTGTGCTGTTTTCCCCATCACTAGCCAGCGGACAGGAAAGACAGAGAGTAGAGCGACTGAGGCCAGTGCTCAGCGACCTTCATTGTGGGGGACATTAATTTCCTATAAATTAGGACCAGAGTGGATTCAGACTTTTAATCCCATTGGTGATCTTGAGCCAAATTGCCCATCACTTAGGATAGCTCTATAGCTATTTATAGACTGAGATGAGTTCTGTGATAAGCCCAAGAAAGATCCAACCATAAATAGAATTTTAGTTTTGCTCTCAAGTAGGTTATATGCATCTAAATGTTCAGAATATTGGTTAATTCATATTAGGAAACAATAACTTTCTGGACTCAAAATCTTGTTACTTATATTACCTGTGATTTTTCCAGATAAAAATAGAGACTATTGAAATTATATGACTAGATTTAATTTAAACAAAATATGTGGAGTGCCTTTTAATCAAAACTGACTTAGCACATAATTGACTGAAGGATTTATGAAAAAATACTTAGTGTTATCAACATATCAGTATGGTGCAGTTTCTGACCTTTATTTAACCTTTACCATTGTATATATCACCACCTTAACCAGAGATATAGCAAACCTATTTTAGGCAGCCATGACAAATTTAATGATATTAGATGATATAATGGGCTTAATGAGATCATATTTTAAGAGATTCTTTTTTTATATAAATTTAGTTTAGTCTTAACAGAGGTATAGTCAACTCATGTTTTTCTTTTTCTCCTCTATTTAGAATTAGAGCTTTGTATTTAGATGCAGTATAACAACAATAGCTATTCTATGGATCAAATCAACTGAAATCTATGCTTTATCAAGAATGCTTGCCAGGGGGCCAGCGCTATGGCATAGAGGGTGAAGCCACCACCTGCAGTGCCAGCATTGCATATAGGTGTCAGTTCGAATCCCATCTGCTCCACTTCTGATCCAGCTCTCTGCTATGGCCTGGGAAAGCAGTGGAAGATGGCCCAAGTGCTTGGGCCCTTGTAACCACATGGGAAACCCGGAAGAAGCTCCAGGCTCCTGGATCGTCTCAGCTAAAGCCTTTGCAGCCATTTGGGGAGTGAACCAGTGGATGGAAGACCTGCTCTCTGTCTCTCTGCCTCTGCCTCTGCCTCTCTCTAACTCTGTCTTTTCAAATAAATAAATTTTTTAAAAGAATACTTGCCAAGTTTTCTTATCTATTATTTTTCAAGATTATCTCAACTAACACCATCTAAGCTACAGAGAAAACAAAATCAATAGAAGCAGTGTTTTCTCTTGCTCTGCCATCCACCCTAGGCGTCCTTCTTCTGAAACAGTCACTGGGAATAGGAAAAGAGTAGGAAACCAGGTTTCTCTTCTTTCCCAGAAATTTTGTCTCAATTAACACAGAAGAGAATCTGGATATGGTAGGAAACAAAGAGTAAGTGTTTTGGGTTTTTTTTCTTTTTGGCTTAGTTTGTTGTTTTTATGTAATACTTAGTTCTTTATAAATGAGAACCCATACCTAAAATGTTGAACATGGTGCTTGACAATGGAAGGTATTTTTTGTGTTATCACCTTTCATCCCCATTTCCACCTGAAACATCAAACGAATCATGCAAGTGAGAAAGCAGAGTCACAGCCTAAACCTGGATTTAGTCTATCAGGTGACTGCTTAGACAAATTGAGTTTTACCTTCAGCCTTATACCAGTCAGTGTGAACTAATATAAGTGACCGTAGCCCCTTTTCTTCATAAAATTTTTCTGAAGTATCTTTCATATTGAAACTGAAAATAGAAAAATGGTTTATATCCAGAATATTTCCATTGTACTTTTGTTACCTTGAAAAATCGATTTAAGTGATTTTTTACAAAAGTCAATAAGCAATGCAGAGTCATTCCTGCTAAAAATACCTTTTTCTGCTGGAGGACACTAACATATTGGGAAAATCATTGTAGACAATATTTCATTCATGGACCAAGCCATAAAAATATTCATCTTAAATAATATAATAGCTAGAAAATTATGATATAATTTCCTTGCCATGTCATATAGAAGATTCTTTTTTTTTTTTTAAGATTTGTTTATTTATTTGAGAGGCAGAGCTATAGACAGAGAAAGGGAGAGACAGAGAGAGATGTCTTCCATCCATTGGTTTACTCCCCAAGAGGCCGTAATGGCCAGATCTGGACCCATCCAAAGCCAGGAGCCAGGAGCTTCTTCCAGGTCTCCCACATGGGTGCAGGGGCCCAAGCATTTGAACCTTCTAACACTGCTTTACTAGGCCATCAACAGAGAGCTGGATCAGAAGAGGACCAGCTGGGACACAAACTGGCACCCATATGGGATGCTGGTGCCACAAGCTGAGGCTTAGCCTACTACACAGTGTGGACCCCATATAACAGATTCTGAATTTCTTTTAGAAATAACTGTCATGTTAAAAATATGATTTAGTTCATATAAATAAAGCAAGTTGTTCACTTTTGCATATTAGCAGGATTTACCTGAGGTTTCTATATGTAAACAGCAGTACACGTAGAGAAAGGTATGATTTAGCTACCAAGAAATAATTTATGCAAAATTTTAAGGAACTCAACAATTGTTTAATTTAATAGGCGTGTCCTCTTTTAAGCTAGGTTCAATGTGTACCTTGTGATTCCATAGGAGTATTCTATATATTACTTCTCTTTTTCTTCCCTGTGTAATCTGTCTTTCAAATGTAGAAATGTTGATTCCCTACAGAAATTCATCCACCACAATGTTTAACCTCGTTACAAAGGTGCCTGTGCTGTGATGTGTCAAGCTCTTTCATTTGAAATATAAGATCAGAGAAGGGATTATTATGCTTTTCTGCAATAATATAGCTCAAGTTTAAGGAAAATGAGCAGATGTATGGAAGTGTGCTGGCTAATTTGGAGTCTAAATCCAACATGCCTGGGATATACCATTTCAGTGTAACACCTAACTTTCCCCTACTCTTTCTAACTTCTACATTCATTTATTGAGTTTTCCAGATGAGACAGCTATTTGACACAGGTTAAATTATTTTCAGAGAACTTGGAAATCATTCCAAGAGTTAGTGGCAAGAATGGCATTTCCTTTGTTAGAAATAGCAAAAAGGGTTTGGCCTCTCCTGGGCCTCTTTCACCTTGGTTTCTCCAGGACCTGGTAATACAGATGTAGCAAGAATTTAAAAGAGCATTTTGATGAAGTGAACAAATAATAGCAACTGTCTACACTCTAGGAGTTATGTATGCAATTCAGTTGAAAGAACTTTTCATGGTTCTATAATAGAAAAAAGAATCAAAGTAGCTGAGCTTTTAAAATAGATTTCAAAGTGATTCCAAAGTTTTGTCCCTTTTAGCTAATCATATGGAAACTATGTTATACTTTTCCTTTTGTATTCTGGTTTTTCTACTTTTCCTAAATCAAAAGACTCAAATGCTAAGAATTAAAGTCAAATATATTTATTTAAAATAGTAGATATTTCTTTTTATATTCTCTAAAATATTGACATACTCTTTCATCTCTAAATCCTATGTCAAGAAGACATGAAATGTCATTTGTTCATTCCTCATTTTAATGTTTGTGCACCATTGGCTCAATTTTTGATGAATATTAATTAATTTGAATTATTTCTATTAACATTTAAGATATTTCTCTTCCACTGATGTCTTAAAAATATTTAGGAAATTTCATATTAATGTCTTTATTAAGAAGGAAATAAGAGGGACTGGCATTGTGGCACATCAGATTAAGCTGCTGCCTGTGATGCCCAGCATCCCATTTGGGGCACCAGTTCAAGTCCCAGCTGCTCGACTTCCTATCGAGCTCCCTGCTGATGTACCTGGGAAAGCAGCAGAAGATGGCCCAGTTGTTTAGGTCCCTGCCATTATGAGTGAGACAGAGATGGAGTTCCAGGCTCCTGGCTTCAGCCTCCCCAAGCCCTGGCCGTTGAAGGCATTTGGGGAATGAAACAACATATGAAAGATATTTTTGTTTCTCTCTCTCTCAAATTAATAAATATAGCTCTTAAAAGATAAAATAATAAAACTTATGAAATATAATTATAGTGTTCAGAGTTCCTGAGAAAAATTCAACTATAGCCCAGCAGCAAAAAGATTCATGTGAAGAATTGAATATTAAGTGTGTAAGTGCTGACAATATCGCTCATTTGAAATGTGGAGCATTGGCTTATGAGTAAAATTCCATATGTGAGATTTGGATGAATTTGAGAAGTTTAACATGTATTTGTGAATAATGGAACCTGCGACTAATGAGATACCTAACTAGTCAATTGGTGATATGAGTATTTCAAATCATTTATTGGTAGAAAAATGCCTTCCTTCGTATCACTTTTAATTGCCTAAAAGGCAGTTTTCTGCACTTTATCTTTAATTTCCAAAATCATCATAAAAGAACTTTATTAGGTGTCTACTATACTAGATACTACTTTGAAAAAGATGGCTTGTTTCCTGTCCTCGTACACTTGTGCTTGCAACAGGAGACTATATTAGCCAACAAAAGCTCAGTTTTTAAATATCCTTTGCTGTTGCATCAATTTCATAGTTCACCAATCCTTTCATAGTTAGTTAATCCCTTCCTATGTGTATTTTTCACACTTTTCTTAATTCCCCTATGTTAATGCACACTTTGATAAATCAAATACATTCTACCTAACTTTAAATCCACATAGCAGGTTGTGCTCTTAATGCTGCTAAAGGAATTGAATTTTTTAAAAGTCATGAAATGCCATTTCACATTTATAGAAAACTAAATTAGTCTTTACAATACAAAAGAGATGTCTACTTTCAAAGTTGTTATTGTAACCCTGATGTATAAGGGATTTAGGTAGTGGAAGTAGAGAGAAAGAGGAGGTTGTTCCTCCATCTGACCACTGGTTTGTTCAGGTCAGTATTCATTACTGCCTTCTCTTTAATGGAGATAAGTGTTGTCTAGTGCTAGAACAGGGTGTAGACATTTCTAAGAATCTGGTTTCATTACAAAGCAAGTAGTTCTCACAAACATTAAAACATATCTTGCTATTTTAGTGAAGTCTTAATGCAAGATAAGAATTTTTTTTTAATTGTGGCAAAATACACACAGCATAAAATTTACCATTTTAATGATTTTAAGTGTACAGTTTAGTGGCCTCAATGGCATTCATGTTATTGTGATACAATGTCCAAAGATGATTTCTTTTAATAAAGGAAGAGCTTCTTGATGACAGTGGAGTAACACGCAGGAGTCTCAGGTTCAAATTGTTGTTCTGCTTGAATAGGGTAACTCATGTACCACCTTTACGTCCCAAGTTTTTCATATTCTTTGAAAGTGTTGACTATTTGAAAATATGCTTCCCGTAAATGTCTTCTTATTTTCTAGGAATTTGTGTAACAAAAACAATGCACATGTAAGAAGAGTTAAAAACATTTGTTTTGGGGGCATCACAGGCAGTAGAAAAGTCCCTTTCACTAAGCATATCACAGCTGCAGTTCGTTTCTTTATCATGCCCTAGAGCATGCTGGGAAATCATGAAAGAAAAGTGAACTCAGACTTTGTGGCACAGCAAGTGGAGCTGCCTGCCCGTATCCCACATCAGGGCACTGGTTTGGGTTCTGGCCTACTCTGCTTCTAAAAGCTTCCTGATGATGTATCTTAGAAGGCAGAAGGATGGTAGCCCAAGTGCTTGGGCCCTTGCCACCAATGTGGGAAACTCAGTTGCAGTTCCTGGCTTTGGCTCTTGGTTTTCACCTGGCCCAGCCCTAGCAGTTTCAGGTTTTTAGGGAATGATTCAGTGGGTCAAAGATCCCCCCCACCCATCTCTCTCTCTCTCTCTCTCTCTCTCTCTCTCTCTGTCTCCCTCTCCCTCTCCTTCTCTCTCTCTCTCTCTCTCTCTCTCTCTCTCTCTCTCTCTCTCTCTGTCACTGTGCCTTTCAAATAGATGGGGGCAGTGGGAGTGGGCTGGGAAGGACATAGTAATTAAACCAATAATTCTATTTTGAATAAGCCTCATGTATTTTCTATATTTTGTTCTTTTCCTAAGTATCTCCTGCCTGGACTCCACTCTGGCCTGAAGAGGCTGCCAAGACCCTGAGAACTTGAACAGTGCTTCCTGATGAGTACTTGATAGTATTATAAATTAGTTGCACTTAGTAAAGGAGAAAAGGAAGAAAGGGGCAGAATTGACTTTGTCTTATAGTCAGTAACAACACTCACAACAAGGAGATGCTGGCTTAAACAGAGCTAAATAATGTATTTTACTGAAGTGTACCTTAGGAACTCCAATATGTTATCGTGATGTGTGAATCTCCCACAGGAGAAAAGTAAGGAAGCATTCCAAATTATTTAACTTAGAATTCCTTTCTGGGAGAATGTTTTGAAAAACTAGTGTCCCTAGGAATACCTTTGTGGGAAATGGTGATAAATGTTAAGTGAGTCTTCAGATATACTCTGCTCTGCATACCCTGGTCATATATTTAAATGGTGTTTCTAGTAATTGCCTATGAGCCTTTAAGGAAGGCCTATTGCTTTATCATTTTCCACTGTGAGCCAGTATTTCTCAAAGTGGAGCTTTGGAGACAGAAACCAGACTGTTAGTAAAGTTCTTTAAAATATTTTTCTTGTTAATCCTATTAATATAATAAATTGAGCAAATGTTTTTTAAATATTAAGGACAATTAGAAAGATGTAAAATAAACTGTGTTCTTTTTAAATGGAATATTACAAAAGTTATAGAGAAATAGATGTTAGCAGGATGAGTGATGTAGTATAGCTGTTTAAGCTGCCGCTGAGGACACCCACATCCCCTGTCTTAATCCTAACTACTAACTCCCAACCCAGCTTCTCATTAATGTACCTGGGAAAACAGCAGATAACCCCAAGTACTTGTGTCCCTGTCAGCCAAGTGGGAGTTCCAGGCTTCTGCCTATGACCTGGCTCAGCCATGACTGTTCAAGCATTTGAGGAATAAACCAGTAGATAGAAGATATTTCTCTCTCTCTCTCTCTCTCTCTCTCTAACTCTCTCTCCCCAGCCCCCTCTGTCATTCTGTCTTTCAAATAAATAAATAAATCCTTTTTTTAAAAAAAAAAAAGAGGCGATAAGTGTCAAAATCAAAGACCAATAAATGTGTGCAATGTGTGCTGATCAAATCAGGATTATTAACATTTCCCTGTCTTTGTCATTATGTTTGAAGGCTTCCAGCTTCCTTCTTCCATTTGTCCATATATATATAAAACCTATTATAAAATATAAAATAGGTTATTTAATCAAAATCTTCTTAATATTTAAAGAGATAGAAATGCTGAATGATATGATTTGCTTACCACGGAATGTGCGTACAACACTGTACTCCATAAATAAGTACAATTAAACACTAATAATACAACAAAAAGATTAAAAATTTTTCTAGCATCTGGGCATTTTACATTATTTAATATAGTAAGAATTCCAAGAATAAAATGTTTAATAGTGCCTAGAATGAATGTAATTCCTTTCTGAGAGTTGCTAAACAGTTATATAAATTGATGCCTTTTCACGACTGAAGTGTGTAAAATCTAATAATACAAGAGTTATAAGGACCTATCTATTACTAGCTAATAAGCCCTATATCATTTATTATGTAGAACAGTTCACATAAATGATGCCACAGTTCTCCATAAACACAAACAGACCTATTGTATATTATTGGTAGTGAAAGATTTAGGGGAGTTTTCTTTTATATAATATATTTAATCATGTTCTATTTAAACACCTGTAAAAATTTTAAATTATTACAAATAAATATACACCCAGTTGTTTTTACAAAAATATTCTTTTTCATTTATAGATACCTTCAGTTCCACATGAGTTTTATAGACACCTGTTTAACTATTAATAAATTGGAAATTAATCTTAATTCATATAGTGTCAGGCTAAAATACAACTTCTATTCATGATTTGGAATACATTATTTAAGCTATATTCTGTGTTAAATCACCAAACAAAACAAAGGAGAAACACTTAATAGAGTCTTGCTTGTTTGCACTTCACAGAAGTGCAGAACTAGAATAGAATTTAAAGCTCCTCCAGCCTTTTTGTTTTATAGGCATAGAAACCAAGACTTAGAGAATTAGACCCAACAATGAAAAAAATTGCTGAACCAAGATTTTATATTCTCTCATCTCCGGTCCCTCATATCTCTCCTCTTGTGGGTTTTGATTACTACCATTTCTGCAACATGTGAGAAGTTTTCTTTGGCAAGGAGAATGAGTGAGCTTTACAGAAATCCCTTTGAATTCCAGCTCCAATCTTACAGACCTTCCAAATTTGTAGTGTCACCATTTATTTTATATCCAAATGTATCTGAGAGCAGTAGTTAAATACAGATATAAGGAATTGAAGCCAATGGGAACATCATGGTCCTATAATGGTTTCATTGTCTTCCAAGAATTGTAATTTGAATTTTAATAGTTTTTTCTATCTTTGGCATATATTATCCAAACTTTATATTTTAAAAGACAATTTTGCCAGCATGTTTTAAAAATATTTTCATTTGCCTCAATTGTCAATTTCTGTTATGAATGATAAATGCAATTCCCAGATTTCTTCCTTTAAGTTCATTATATAACACCAAACACCTCTAGAAAGCACTCTTGATTAATACCCTATTTGAACCCATAAAGAAAAATTGTGTTAACTTTATTATTTATCTTGCTCATTAGTGTGAGAGCATTTATGATGGCAACCCCAGAGGTTATCAGCAATTCTATGCCCTATAAATTTGACTAACCATGTATGCTACCTTATATTTTAGTTACTCAACAGAAGCATAGTCAAGAAAATTTAGAATAATAAAACAAAAATGGACAATATCACCTTACTAAGCTGGATATGCCTGTGCTTCCAAAGCAATGGTGCTCAAGCTTCATCTGGGTGCAGAACATGTGAATATTAGACTGCTCCAGGTGGAATGTAAATTGTTGAAATATTTAATCATATTATATGAGCTACAAACAATATTACTTAGAGAAAGTGTACGTTTATTGTATGCATATGGTATTTGTGATTACGTAGATTTCTTAAACTCTTCAGTTAATCACAATCACCTTTCTGAGAAATTCCATTAATGTATTTTATACTTGTGCATTCACTTTGTCAGACTCAGCAATTATCAGGCATCAGTTATTTAAAAGAAATTTTCATTGTTGAATATGGAAATATAATCAAATGTGAACATGAAGAAAGGGTGGCAATATTCAACTAAGCATTGAAACACTTTTCCCAAGTTTTTAGAACACACTGTATAATTTGAGAGTTGTTCCTCCAGAGTCTGTGTTATGGTTTGTTGATCAAAATGTAGATGTGGCAACTGTGTTTCAATCTATACTTATATGATTTTTTTTATTTAATGAGCATAAATTTCCAAAGTACAGCTTATGGATTACAATAGCTTCCTCCCCCCCATAACTTCCCTCCCACCCACAACACTCCCCTCTCCCACTCCCTCTCCCCTTCCCTTCACATCAAGATTAATTTTCAATTATCTTTATATACAGAAGATCAATTTAGCATATATTAAGTAAAGATTCCCACATTTTGCTCCCACACAGAAACACAAAGTGTAAAATACTATTTGAGTACTTGTTATAGCATTAATTAAACACCTAAGAGTAATTGTATATTAATTACAGAGTTCAACCAATAGTTTTAAGTAGAGTATATGATTTTTAAAAATAGAAAAGCTGAATGAAGCTCTACTCAGTGATTTACTTTTGGCAAACAAGTTTGTTTTATAAAATGGTGCTCATTTTAAGCAAGCATTTCTATGATATGTTTCCTTTGTGATAATGTATGCATGAAGAATCATAAGCATAACTGAAATATTACCTCTGGGTTGAACTGTTTAAATGTGGGAAGTCAATTGGTAGCTATAAAAAAGAAAGGTTAAGTAAGTCTGATGTTTGTTAGCTTCACATTATTTTTTGATATCAGTTCACTAGTTGACATGATGTTTTTTTTCCACACTGGTTATTTGAAAGTATTTATTGTGACAAATAAATATTTTGTATAAGATGTTTGCCTTTCTTTATCTCTTTGGTCTAGTCTGCATGAATTTCTTGGTATTTTTCTCTTGGATGTTTTCTACTAATCTATTCTCTGTAAGTCATAGATAATTATTCTTTCTAACTACAGGATTGGTGCAAAAAAACCTAGCTATTTGTTCATGAGGAAATACTTCTTAAACACTAAAATATTATGTGTTAAATTTTTACTTTTTCATCATTATTTAATCAAATGAAATACAATGAATCAACTGTGTCTAGTGTGTAGATAAAGTTTTTCCAAATGTTTTCCTTAAACTGATTATGTGCTTTTATCTTTTGGTGATAATAATAATTATATGATTAACTAGCAACATGTATCAAATTCTTAGTATATGCCAGACATCATAATAAACATTTTTAAACATATTATTTAATCTTTGCAACAAGTATTTGGTAGGTATGAGTAGTCATCTAATTTTTCTTTTAACAGTTGAGATTGCTGAGACTTAAGGAATCTAAAAACTTGCTGAGGTCATATAGCTTCAACATAGAGCAAACCTCATGTTTGTATGATTCTGAGAGATGAGTCTACCTACATAGTATGCATGCAATTCTAAAACACTACCTTATGTGATGAAAATCTGTAACTGAAAATCTTAAAAATAAAATTTTGACTAATCCAATTTAGAGTGGGTTCATACCCTAAATTGTTTATTAAGACAGATGAACAATCACATTTTCAACTACCTTTATTTTTGGTACATAAAAATGCCTATCTGTGAATTTTGCTTGTTTGATATGTATATAAGTAGTGATTAAATAGTGGTGTCTCTGAGTGATGTCAACTTTAGACCAATGAATATCCCCTTTAATTCTGTCAGTATCCTGTGTTCTCCTGATCCCCAACCAAACTCTTTTTTTTAAAGATTTGTTTATTTAGTTAGTTATTTGAGAGGCAGAGTTACAGACACAGAGAGGGAGAGACAGAGATCTTCCATCTGCTGGTTCACTTTGCAGTGGCCTGAGCAGGGACAGCTGGAGACTGGATGATCTGAGGCAGGAGCCAGGAGTTTCTTCCAAATCTCCCACATAGGTGCAGGGGCCCACATACTTGGACCATCTTCCTCTGTTTTTCCAGGTCAACAGCGGGGAGCTGGATTGGAAATGGAACAGCCGGACTTTTCCTGGTGCCCATATGGGATGCTGACACCACAGGCAGGGTCTTGACCTAATATGTGACAATGCCACCCCCCCAACCAAATTCTTAAACATCAGAATGAAAAATAATTTACTGGGTAATCTGATTATAGTATCTCCTATTTCGTTTCTTAGCTTCATAAGACTATCTCCAGATAAATTTTGCTTCTGTTACCTATCCAGTCAATTTCAGATCTATGTTATAAACTTTCTTTGCTGATGATAGATCATCACATTTTCTCTTCACATTTGGGGGATAGTAATATTCTATTTCTCAGTGTCCACATGAGTGGAGCTTACATTCCTCACTTAAAAACTTGTGATGACAGCTCTTCGTAGAAGAAATCGATCTCCCTCTACCATGCCCTACCACCTCTGTTTCCCTATCCAATCTGCCTGTGGCCTCCAATCACTTAGAAGAACTTGCCCTAACCCTGAACTCGCCACATCTCTGTGCCATGCTCTCAGCTTGAAATCCTGTCTATTCTCAGCAGAACCAAGTTATTCTTCTTAATGACTCACTCAAAGAATCCCCTAAATCCCTAACCCAAAAGTTAAAGAAGCTTTCTTTTTTCAGCTTCTATTATAGCACAGAAGCTACCCTGTAATGGGAAAGAAACAAATGATTTATGGAATTGTCAACTGCATTAAAAATGAATGAGAGACTGATCTACCTGTCAGGAGGCCTCTTTTCTCTTCCAAAATTTAGAGCTGCTTATTTAAATTTCAAACACCCACTCCCCTTGTGGCTCTAATTGGCTTGGACTAGCAATAGCCAAATGAACATGTGTGGACAGAAGATGCCAAATAATGCAATTTTATTGAAATATGCATGTGGCTTTTTTGTTGGCGAGAGGGTATACTGCTATTCCACCATTTATACTTAGTTCAAAAAATGCAACATAAGGAAAAAACCAGATCCCATCTGCCAGGCAAAATAGCTATAAAGTGGAAAAATCAAGTTTTTAATGAATCCATCGAGAGTAACTTGAGTTATTTTTTAATGTAAGGGCAAATAAACTCTTGAGCAGGGCTGCATATCCATGGTGTATCCTTTTAATTTATAGCTAAGCCAAATCCAAATCCTGGGTTTAGCTAAATTAGAGTGTTCCCAGAAGAGAGAATGATTAGACAATACAAGTAGGCTTATGCTGGCCTTCCTCTTCTAAAATCTGGCTCACAGTCTAAGTGGACTGGAATTCCATTTGTAAGACAAGTAAACATTTCTCTGTATATTCAGGAGACTCACTGAACAACTTGGCTGGAGTTTTCTGTTTTCTTTAGCCCATATCCACAATAATAAGAGTGTTGCTCTTCCATATTCCAGTCTAAAGGAGTGTCGAATAAGAGCAAACACCTGTTCTTTTTTCTTTTTGGGCCAGCACCTTCTGGCTTTGATTCAAGACTTCCGATTTTGATGAATGTCTTTTTTCATTATCTACTAATAGCATTATTTGTAGTATAGCTCATCCATAGGATGCTATTGGTTAACAAAAAATGATATTCTATATGGAGAAAAATTATAATGTGTGTCATGGAGTGGTCAAGGCATTGCAAGCAATCAGTAGTGTTTGGGGTGTCTCACTGTTGATATCCCTTGTTCTAAATAGCCATTATACTTCACAGTGTCCTCCTTTCAGCAGATTGGAGAAGAAATCTGCAGAAACCTGACTTTGAATTCCTTTGAATCACAATTGAGGGATCAAGGCCAGTAGTTAACCATATCTGACTCAGGAAGGGAATAAATTTGTCCACTACACCTTGCAGGTGAGAGTTTTCAGGTTACTAGTAAACAATGATAAGCACATATGAATCAGATGAAGACACTGAAAATTCCTTGCCTGAGTCAGGAGCTCAGTTTGCATCCCAGCTCTGTCTGTAGGCAGATGTGGGATTCAAGCAAAACACAATCTTTTGAGCCTCCTTTTACTCATCTGCACAGAGGACAAAGTTCTTGACTCTGAGTTATCAAGTGGGTTAAAAGACAACATAGAGCATAGCACCTGGAGCTTATGGCTACTCAGTAATATACTGGGAATCTGTTCATAGAATCTAAGGTTCACTTGTCAGTAGTAAATCTATTAACAATAATAGCAGCAGCACACAGATTTGCATTCTTACCATCTGGATTCAGAACCCTATAACCCCAGTATGGCAACTTGGCATACTGAATGTTCTAAACTGAAGGAAATTATGTAAATCCTAGAAGCAGGAAAGTCACTCTCTGATCTTCTCCTGCTCTTCTCCCCTGAAGAGCCTCATGTGACAGGTGTCTTGCCCTAATCCTAGAAGAAATGTCACGGAGAACGGCCTTGAAGAATTTGAACAAACAGGTCTTGCTCATTTCACTGTAGTTTATTACCATTATACTGTATTCCTGTCATATTACTTTTTCTCAATTGTTCAAAATAAACCAGACTTCTGTGGATCTTTGCATCTTCATTTCTGAAGTCTTCCATGTCATGTAAAACATTGGTTAAGGGGCCAGCGCTGTGGCACAGTGCATTAACACCCTGGCCTGAAGTGCCGAAATCTCATATGGGTGCCAGTTTGAGACCTGGCTGCTCCACTTTTCATCCAGCTCTCTGCTATGGCCTGGGAAAGCAGTAGAAGATGGCCCATCAGATGGAAGACCTCTCTCTCTCTCTCTCTCTCCCTCTCTCTGCCTCTCCTCTTTCTGTGTAACTCTGACTTTCAAATAAATAAATAAATCTTTAATAAAAAATTGATCAAATACATTTGCTATGGCTTTCTCTTGTAATTCTGTTTTTGTTGTTGTTGTTGTTATGAGGGTCTCAGCCTTGAACCTAACCTGGATAAGGAATCAATGCCACTTTTTCTCCCTTCATTACTGAATGCAGAAAGCTGTTCTAAGCACTGGATGTCCATTGGCTCTTTGACTTGTATAACAGCTCTTGAAGCAGTTAAGTTTCTGTTGTTATGCTCTTTCATTTGCATGCAGTCTATTAATACTGTCTTGTGCAGGATGGAACATTCCAAGTAAGAAATCAGAATACAGGAGGGGACAATGGAGAGTTTAACATGCTATATTTGAAATTAGGACTCCTCTCCCCAAATTCAGAACTAAGAGTTACATTTCCCCCTTCTCTAACATATCTTTGAATTCCAGAAGCAAGGGTAAAGAACCCTGCATTTTAATATTATCAATGAAACACATGCAAATGGATCAATTATCCCTCTAGCATTTATGTTTATGAGTAGAATATATTTTCTTAATATATAAATCGACTAAACTTCTAAATATCCATATTCCATTCTTTTCATTAGAACGTGCATGATCATGGGTGTTTGGATCAAAAGTTTCTAGTACCATTTGGCTGGTTTCTAAAAGAATTGTGTCACATGAATATTTGCTTCCTACCTGGAGCCATTGAGAGATAAGGGCCTCACACTCACTGAGAATCACAAGAGGAACATTTGGAACAAGGATATGGGAAGATTTGGAAAGGTTGTTCAGAAGCTTTCTTTGGCCATTTAAAGTGGAAAGGTATGGAAATTGATGAAAAGGAGGGACAGTCTGGGCCATAGCTGTACATGTGAGCAGATGAGTTACAGAAATCTGAGCCCACCTTATTCCCTGTGATTTGTCTCAAGCCTCTGGGAGCCCCAAAACAGGAGAGCCCGGGACTGCTTCCATAATTTACACATTGGAGTAAATTAAGCAAGTCTTTGGTTTCCATCACTTTCTGTTCTACTTAGATGCCAAGGCTTTATCGTGAGTAATGTACTGCGCTTTCAGCCTTGTCTTCAGGGAGCAGTTTGCCTCCAGTGACTCCTTGCAGTAGTCAGAACTTTCTGTCAATGTAGAGG